TTCGCTTGTCCGCTAAAGTGAAAGAAGCAAGTCTCATGAATTTCCCAGACGTGAGGCAACCAGCTCAGCACGGAATGATCGCAACTGCCTCTGGTCAGATCTCTCAGACAACATGGAAGCTGCATCAAATCCTGGCAATTTGGGTCCTCTCTTTCTTCTCGTCCGTTTAACTTCCGGCAAGCGCCATACATCACAACCGATATTGAGCAATTCGGAAGTCTAAATCATCCTCGATGCGGAAGAAAAACTTTCCAGATGGGTAGAGTATTTTAGCAATCTCGTAAACCGCCCACTACACACCACCGCACCCATTTCAGCATTATCCCAGTCAAAATATGACGTAGATTGCTCACTCTTATCTCCCACAGAACTTGCAATTATCGTTCGTCGCCTGAAGCCGTAGAAAGCTCCTGGAGCAGACGGGATTCCAGTGGAAATCTACAAATCTTGTCTAGCAGCTTCCCTTGGCCGTTTGCACGAGCTCTTCTGGTCGACCGAAATCTTTTCTTCTTCATGGAGTACCTCAGTACTACTACCATTTCCCAAGAAAGGTGACCGAACTGTGTGCGGTAATTATCGCGAGATTTGCCTAGTCAATGTGGCTGCCAGAACCTTAACACGAATCTTGCTTTCCCGTTTTGCCAATGAGAGGAACCTGCGAACTCGCCATAACCAAAGTGGCTTTCGTCTAGGCAGAGGATGCACTGACTAAATCTTCACTCTACGTCGAGTACTCGAACACCGCTACCAGTTCCAGCTGCCCACGTTTGTGCTTTGTTGATTTTTGAGCAGCCATTTACCCAGTTGACGTGAACCACTCTGGGAAATCCTACTTGCCGATGGCATTCCGGTTAAACTCGTTAACTTGATGATATCATACTACCGTTGTATGAATGCCCGGATTCGGTTCTATGGAGAAGAAACGGAGGAATTCGACATCAATACTAGAGTCCGGTAGCGTTGACTACTTTCTCCAGTGCTATTCAACTTCGTGGATTATGTGGCATGACCATGAGAGCTATCGTTGTGTTCAAGTTAGCTCTGACTTCTGACTGTCAGATCTCAAAGTTACTGACGATATCGCTATCCTTGCGGAAGATGTTAGATCATTACAGTCGCTGCTAAATCGGTTCGACCAATTAGTCACCATGGTCAGTCACGAAAGCAGCCCCAACAAGACGAAATACTTCTCATCGTTTTCCATCCAGTCCGACTCGTCGCTCTCCTTACATTGACAACTCATGGAATCCCCTCCTGAGTTCAAGTATCTTGGATCCACTATATCCCAATAGGCAGGCTACATCCGAAATCCGGAATCGTATTGACTGCGCTAGAACAGCTTTCTTACAACTGAAAAACATATTTTGGCAAAGGACGGAAAGTAGTCCGAGAACGACCATTCGTGCCTTTTTACTCTATGGTTGCGAAACATGGCCCTTGCAATCCATAGAAACTCGGAAGCTGGAATTCTTCGACCACTGGTGTCTAAGGCTTATCTTGAAAACGCAGTGGCATGAGCTCATCACCAATGACGAACTCCGTAAGCGTTGGTACGGTGTTTCGAAGCTCACAACGCTCATTCAACGCTGCAGACTTCAGTGGTTCGGTCACATCCTCCGCAGACCAGACACTGACTTCACTAGGGCCGTAGTTTCACCCTCGTCTTGCCAGGACCGGCGTTGTCACTGTCGTAGACAATTGAAAAGGTGGCTCACTGCAGTGAAATTGATGTCGATATTCTGGGACTCCATGTTGTGCATGGCGCTCGTCACTGGAGGAACCATTGGATTAGTATCTGCGTGGAGCTTGCAGGCGACTGCCGTGCCTGGGCAGCTGCAATCCACGACATTCATGAAGCCGGCTCATCCTGTCGCAGGAGCAAGCGCAGTAAAGTAAAAGTAAGTAAGTTGTGAAGTCAATACTGGAGGGAAGGTAATCAATAGGAACCGATTGCAGCTGCCGTGACAAAAGGAATGATAATGTGGACCTGAAACATTGCAAAAGATGACTTATGGCGAAGTCATAACAGTATGGGAAGCCACAAGGATCGGTATTAGGTACGGAGCTTCAGTGATACTGATGCTACTAATCACGAAAGAAGTACGGATGTGATAAGTATATGCAGCCAGAAGAAGACGACAGATTTACGTGATGAAGTAAGTAGCTCGATTGCGGCAAAGTAACGGAGCAGGTTTGAAGCCGACAAGTTACTATTCGGCTTAGCTGAAGTGAACATGTTTGACTGAAATCAAGGACGAACCTCATGAATGCAGAAAAATTGTTAGTTGTGGAAGCGGCCTAATTATATTCGTCGAGGCTTCTAAAGACCAATAATGCTTTGAGATTTGCTGAGATGGCTTTGTTGAATAAACCGCTCGTCTCTGAAGGACTGAGTTTTGCAACAATCTCCAAAGGTGAATCGTGGCTTATTACCCTTTTATCTGTTCTTGCTTGTACGCATTCATTATTATTAAAAGCATATCTGGATTATTTGCTGTCGTTCTAACGCGACAAGCCAATCTTTATGTAGGTGCACGTTATAGTACCTGAACCTCGCACCGGAACACTGCGTGGTTACTTCACGTTCCGAATGATCATTTTCGCAAATCGCAGTGGGTAGTCCCCGCACGGTCCATGAAGTAAGCCGTTCACCGTTAGATAAGCCAGAAATCTCAATATCTCCCGCTATTTTATCAGATCTAACGTTCACAAGCTCTGCTGTACATTTTGACATACTCGAGATGGTAATTTAAACAGGTACCAGTCAATGCGTATGAGCCTCACGACACCATCTAAGGAGAAATGAAACCAACTACTCTGCGAGGTATACCTATCCATTACCCACTAGGTGTATTGCCATTCAGCTTAGCGAATCTATAAAGTTTAACACCAAAGCTGTTGCTCTGTCAGCTTGAGATCGAAACGATGGTAACCTCTTCTTGCCTCTGGGAATGGGTTCCAGGGATCTGCGCCCTGCGTTGCCAACGGCTTCGTATTTTCACTTCCTGGGCAATGCATCCCGTCAAGTTGCTGATTGTTTTTTAACGAAACTTAGTAGCGTTTACAGTAAAATGGGACCTAGAATGCGGAATGTAATCTATTTCCCTGGAAATATCCTATTCTTATTGTCATAGCAGTGGTAAGAAAGTTTTGCCACTCCCCATTGTTTTGTGAGTTCGCCTCACTCACCCCTATTCACCCCGCCCTCTTTTATGGTTTCCCTGCATAAGTGTTTTTACGGCCCCACATTTGTGATGAGCTTGTATTGACACGGAATCATATGCTTATTTGCTTTGCTCATACTCTGTGCATTCCGCTCATTCACGAGGCACTGTATCTATCCATTGACCTTGAATTGATCACCCTTGAATGAGCGAATGTTTTATTTACACGAATTGCTGTGCGTGTTCTCACTACCGTTAGTGGGCGAAATGAGTCGTGGGGCCGACACAATATTTCTGGTGACGGTATAACACGGTATAACCGCCATAACACTTATATGACGAGCAGCTATTCGTGTCTTGTCACCGAATTTCACTGCTTAGTCAAGCCGCTACTGGACTTCAAAAGTACAAGAAGAAAAAAACATTTCAGCAGAATAACTAAATTCATTTTACTTCACCTGCCAGCATTCTGTCGCTAAGCTACTAATAATGAAAAATTAAAATGAACCGGGGAGAAGGGATTAATATTGGGAGTCGACAGTTAGCTGTATCAGTGGTTGTATGGGGAAAATCATGCACCCTACCAAGGTAGAACGAGGCTACGCACATGGTCAACTTGTTTGTATATGGGTAGCTTCACGTGCCGGATGGCAGAAGCCTCATTTTCTGACTAATTTCTACTAGTAAGCTTGAATAACTTCCGGGGGGGGGGTTTGACTTATTGCGCAGTGGAACAGGTGCCGGGTTTGCAAGTACTCCAGTACCAGTCACAACTAGGTTCCACGAGATGCGCTCCGAAAACTTGTTAGATGCTCTTCTCTCAGTCCTGCCAATGTACATGCTACCGCTTGCACATTTGAGCTGGTAGACGCAAGAGGTGGTAATGTGAATGAGGATTGTCTAAGTCGGAAACGTGCAGCAACTTTATGGTTTGGTGCAACAGATGCAAAGCAGTCTTCTTATTGACTGGCGTAAGCGATGACAAAAGCTTCTATCGTTTCGTTTCCCTTACTGGGAGATGTAATGAAAACCATCTTCTCAGGAATCTAAGCCGGTTTTTCTTTCGTTAATCCTTCCCACACTTGGCGATAAATGTAGCACGATAGCCATATTTAGTTCCTTCTCAATGGACGTTTCCGGACAAATTCGCCGGGGTTTCACCGAGGAAGTAACAGGCGTTCTTAGTTGGTGGGACAGTAGCTGTTGAAGCTTAGGTACTACACCATCCAATCCAAGTTATGGCAAATCGATCTGACGAGCGAGCCTCTCTAAAGTTTTAGCAAAATGGTGGAACTCGGCTAGGTATTCGTTTCCTATGGTGAATTTGGCCCCTCGATGATGTTAAACGTTTCTAGCGTGTTATCCGTTTGCTCAACGTCACCAACAACCACAAAAACAGCTGCACAAACAGGCTTCTTGTACAAGCTGACGCAAGTTAGTATGCTCCAGATGGACTATCAAGATGTGACACTAATTGGCCCAAGTGGGCCATCCATCACTACGCGCTCTATTGATCCGTAGAAGTTTCCATCGACGCAAAACCGAACATACTTTGTGCATATGCAAAGTAACGCTTTTAACAAGTGAGCTGCCCTCACTTACCTAGTCCCATGTACCTGGAAACTGAATCACCATTATAAATAGCTGACACACCTCATGCTCATTTTTTCGACGATTACCGAATAGATAGATCTCCATTTGAATTGCCTTATGTATGCCACAGGTTCGATGCTTTGTGGTCGCAATCATGTCCCAGGCAACCACATTTGGGCTAAGAGTGAGAAAGCACTTTATTCTAGTTATCATGTAATCAATAGACCTGTGATTATAAAGCGGTTACGGATCAGCATATTTAAAGAAATCCAGGAATGAATACAGACCGAAAAGCAATATGTTCGATGATACGAGCGACATTGGACGTTTAGTAAGCGTGTCCGGCCACAAAAAGGGACTCTTTTCCTGCCACACTATCCCCTCCTTCTCCGTCATACTTCCCCAAAGAGGCAGCTCCACATATCTGAAAGGTAAAGCACATTAGGTAACGTTAGTTTTACATCACAACAAAAGTGATCCCGCTGCTGAGATGCGATTGTGAGACATACTATCGTGCCTTACCTTCCGTCCGGATAACACCACAAAACACACTTACTGGTATTCCAATAGAATATATCTCTTCCGTAAACGTCGCACTTGAACCAGGTAGGGGGTAAGACCCACGACATCAACACGCGCTCTTCTATCTCGATACCGGATACAACTGACCACTAAACCTGCATACCGTTACAAATGCTGTACCCCACAAGTTTAAGCTTATTAGCGGATAGACCAAATCATCTTTTAACACTTCCAGACATCGTAATAACTGACACACAATGTGGAACTCACAGCTGAGCACCTGAGAAGCTCGTGCTGTCCATTGTGAGTGTTTTCCGCTTTTCCCTGCCACGCAGCCAACACCGAGGCTTGCAAAGCTCGACCGTAACTGAAAGTAAGCCTCCATGGTTTCGGCCCCTCAACTCTGTTTATGGCATTCAGGTTCACAGCTGCTTCCTCTTCTGATTGGCCACCCGACAAAAAGGTGATTCCTGGAACGGCGATGGGTACGGTTCTTCTAAGCGCTGTCACGGTCGCCAACGCAATCTTGGAGCGTTGAAAAATGGAGGGTCAGAGAATTGGTTTGAGGGATGTTAGAGTAAATCATGAAATGGTGCCAAAGGAAATCCGTTCATATGCTCGTGCTGGCCAAATATACGGTAGTCAGCTAGAGAACATGTCCCAACTACGATGAATCCCTACTTTTCGTGTTATGTTGGGAATCGCATTAAACAATGAATCCAGTTGCTAGACGCCTCACAATCTCGGATAACTTTCGAAATAACCGACGGATGTGTGTATTGGTTTCAAGTAAATCCAGAGATTCCTCCGGCTTTCTAGAGTCTAATGTGTGTTTCTTACAACCCAACTAACTGTCCTGAATTCATGCGGGTAAATGCTCTACACTGCTCAACCATGTACATGATAAAATGTGTTCAGGGTCATGAGTGGACAGTTTGAGAAGATGGGTGTGAAAGTAAAACAGAACTTTGATTTTATATCATGGAACATAGTTGGTACCGATCGGGAAGTTATCATTTCAGGTTTTATGAACTACTTACCTTGCACACAGGACAATATTTCGAAATTTCTCTACATACATGTGTTCATTGCTGTCACGGTTGGATTTCAACTGGCGATTCTATGAGAACTGATGGCTAGAGTTCACTGCACCAGGTTGGAGTTTGCATAAACCATTATGCTAAATGTAACAACTGTTCTCCCATTAGGTGCATTAACACGACTAGAACAAACATCTGATTAACCGATGCCGGTACCAGCGCTAGTAAGGGAATGGCTCCTATTCCTCTTAGCAGGACTGCATTCACTTAAGCGACGACTTATCATGAATGTATTTGTGGGAACACTTGGTCAGCGCTGATTTTATTCGATACATGGGTTGGACTAAAGTATTCCATCTTCTGCCTTACCGTCCGATCCGTCTTCGTTGGTTCGTTAAAACAGTGTGAGCTCTACCTTTCCGTATGCTCGGTGGATTAATAATCGCGGTTTTGCAATTACAAGCGCATCTCTTCGCTTACCTATATTTGGGGAGAACAAGTCCAGGTGACAGGAGTGTGGTGTTGTCACACTACAGTTGAAATCGCTTTATTACCCACCCGGTTTATAGCCCACCCCGCTTTATTACTCATTTTTTCAACATACAGATTTGTCTCTCATAAATATGCTTCGTTTTCACCGTCGGGGTTGTCCCACCGGTTAATTGCCCAGCTGCGTGGGCTGTGCTCTTGTCGCTTTGTCAATTTTACGACCGCACTGTGACCATCGTTTATTACGATTACCCCACAGCTAGCCAGTCCGATCGACTCAAGGACATCACAGACCTCGGCGGCGTTATTGACAGATCAGAAAAGGTTACCTACGTTATTCACTAGTCGAGCAAGCTAAATGCATAGACAGCAGTGCGCAAGCCTTCAACCCTATGCAAAACTCGAGAACTGAGCAAAGTGGGGCAATCTTTCCGCGCTACATTTGTCAGTACTCTACTGGTTACAATGCTCTATTGGTTACAATAGGGCCAGTAACAGAAAGGATTTGTACTGACGAGAAAGGATTGTCCTCGACAGAAAAGTTGGACGTTGTGCACCAATTAAAACTGATCCAGCAGGAGCATCGCAGGCGAAGTTGTCGCGTCGTTTACACACTTCTAGTCGTACCATAGCCACCTGGATTGCCAGCGAAAAGGAACTCCTGCACAATTCGTCGCATGGTATTGCAAGCTCTCAGAAAATGAAGCAATGTGTAAAGGATGAAGAGGTTTAAACTGAATTGAAAGACTGGAAGATCTCGGTTCGTGAGCACAACCAAACAGTTACAGGCCCGCTTCAGAAGCAAAACGTAGAATTCGGGTAAAGACTTGGAAAACCTTTGCTGCCACAGAAGCATGGTTGCAAAGATGGAAGAATAGAAATCAACTTGTGTATAAACGTGTGCATGCCGAAAGGAGTTTCGCGAACAGAGCAGTCTGTGGAAACTGGCTGAAAGATCGACTGCCTGAACTTTTAAATGCATTTGATGATGAGGTGTACAATGCAAACGAAACAGGTCTTTTTATCGGGCAACTCCAGAGGGTTCTTGGGTTTTTCTATCGACAAGCTCAGTGGATCGGAAAAAGATTAATGGATATGATCACTCTCTTGTGCTGCGTGAATATGTCAGGCATGGATAAAAGGGAAATGGTTTTGATGTGGAAAAGTAAGAAACTACTATGTTTTCATGTCGTGAATGTGGAAATACTTCCCGTGACTTACAGAGCTAACAAAAATGCGTGGATGGCGAGAGTGAGAGTGCACTCTCACCGAGGCTCCTCTACGCTCCTCTACGCTATTGCATGCCACTCCACTACGCACTGATGATGTCACCTCGATTGGTGACGAAACGTTTGCAACAAAATTGCCAAGCTCAGCGCACAGTTCAACAGCTATCTGGCTCATAGTTGACGGTGGATGCTAGCGCCGAAATTTCTGTGCTCCATGTCATACAGTTCAGTACAAAAAGTTGGAGACAGGCTAACGGTGCAACAATAAAAGCTTGCTTTTGGCATGCTGGCTTCAGTCGACTGGCTTTCGATGCAATTTCTGATGATGCCGTCATCGCTTAGGGCGAGATCAGCACTTGCATAATCCCAGTCATCAATGCGGAAGAGTTCGTCGCCGTTGACAACAGCTTGGGATGTAACTCAGATCTGACAACTGTTGAACATGAACTCGTCAGTAAAATTCTAGGGAACCGACTAGAAGAGAAAGTAGGCAGCAACGCAGAGGAGTGTTTTCACGTTCACGACATGAAAACATAGTAGTTTCTTACTTTTTCAAATCAAAATCATTTCCCTTTTATCCGTGCCTGATATAGTCACGCAGCACATGAGAGTGATCACATCCATTGATCTTTTTCCGATCCACTGAGCTCGTCGATAGAAAAACCCAAAGAACCCTCTGGAGTTGCCCGATAAAAAAGGCCGGTTGAGTTTGCATTGTATACCTCACCATCAAATGCATTTAAAAGTTCAGGCAGTCGACCTTTCAGCCAGTTTCCACAGACTGCTTTGTTCGCGAAACTCTTTTCGTCATGCACACGTTTATACACTAGTTGATTTCTATTCTTCCATCTTTGCAGCCATGCTTCTCTGGCAGCAAAGGTTGTCCAAGTCTTTACCCGGATTCTTCTACCTTTTGCTTCTGAAGCGGGCCTGTAACTGTTTGGTTGTGCTCACGAACCGAGGCCATCCAGTCTTTCAATTCAGTTTCAACCTCTTCATCTTTTCCACATCGCTTCATTTTCTGAGCGCTTGCAATGCCATGCGACGAATTGTGCAGGAGTTCCTTTTCGCTGGTAATCAACGTGGCTATGGCACGACCAGAAATGTGTAAACGACGCGACAACTTCGCTTGCGATGCTCCCGCTGGATAAGTTCTAATTGGTGCACAACGTCCAACTTTTCTGTTGAGGACAAATCCTTTCTCATCGGTAGAAATCCTTTCTGTTACTGGCCATATTGTAACCAATAGAGAATTGTACCCAATAGGGTACTGACAAATGTGGCGCGGAAAGATTACCCCACTTTGCTCAGTTCTCGAGTTTTGCATAGGGTTGAAGGATTGCCCACTGCTGTCTATGCATTTAGTTTGCTCGCCTATTGAATAACGTAGGTAACGTTTTCTGATCTGTCAATAACGCCGCAGAAGTCTGTGATGTCCTTGAGTCGATCGGACTGGCTAGCTGTGAGGTTATCGTAATAAAAGATAGTCACAGTGCGGTCATAAAATTGACAAAGCGACAAGTGCACAGCCCACGCAGCTGGGCAATTAACCGGTAGGACGACCCCGGCAATGGGCAATTAGACGGCGAAAACTAAGCATATTTACGAGAAAAGGATCTGTATTTTGAATAAAATGGGCAATAAAGCGGGGTGGGCTATAAGCCGGGTTGGTAACAAAGCGATTTCGACTGTACTGTGACAACACCACACTCCTGTCACCTGGACTTGTTCTCCCCAAATAGAGTAGGTAAGCGAAGAGATGCGCTTGTAATTTCACAACCGCGATTGTTAATCCACGGAGCATACGGAGACATAGAGCTCACACTGTTTTAACGAACCAACGAAGACGGACCGGACGGTAAGGCAGAAGATGGAATATTTCAGTCCAATCCATGTATCGTATAAAATCAGCGCTGACCAAGTGTTCCCACAAATATATTCATGAAAAACTGCCGCTTAAGTGAATGCAGTCCTGTTAAGAGGAACCGGGGCCATTCACTTACTAGCGTTGGTACCGGCATCGGTTAATCAGATGTTTGTTCCAGTCGTGTTAATCTACCTAATGGGAGAACAGTTGTTACCTTTAGCATAATGGTTTATGCAAACTCCAACCTGGTGCAGTGAATTCTAGTCATCAGTGAGCCTATATTGTCGAGACTGAGTTCGCATAGAATCGCCAGTTGAAATCCAACCGTGACAGCAATGAGCACATGTGGATAGAGAAATTTCGAGATATTGTCCCATGTGTAAGGTAAGTAGTTCATAAAACCTCCTGAAATGATACCTTCCCGATCCGCACCAACTATGTTTCATGATATAAAGTTCAAGTCCCATTTTACTTTCACACCCATCTGCTTAAACTGTCCACTCATGGCTCTGAACATACATTTTATCATGTACATGGTTGAGCAGAGTAGAACATTTACCCGCATGAATTCAGGACAGTTGGTTGGGTTGTAAGAAACACACATTAGACTCTAGAAAGCCGGAGGAATCTCCGGGTTTACTTGAAACCCCTACACACATCCGTTGGTTATTTCCAAAGTTATCCGAGATTGTGAGGCATCTAGCAACTGGATTCATTGTTTAATGCGATTCCCAACATAACACGAAAAGTAGGGATTCATCGTAGTTTGAACATGTCCTCTAGCTGACTACCGTATATTTGGCCAGTACGGGCATATGAACGGATTTCCTTTGGCACCATTTCATGATTTACTCTAACATCCCTCAAACCAATTCTCTGACCCACTATTTTTCAACGCTCCAAGATTGCGTTGGCGACCGTGACAGCGCTTAGAAGAACCGTACCCATCGCCGTTCCGGGAATCACCTTTTTGTCGGGTGGCCAATCAGAAGAGGAAGCAGCTGTGAACCTGAATGCCATAAACAGAGTTGAGGGGCGGAAACCATGGAGACTTACTTTCAGTTACGGTCGAGCTTTGCAAGCCTCGGTGTTGGCTGCGTGGCAGGGAAAAGCGGAAAACATTCACAATGGACAGCACGAGCTTCTCAGGTGTTCAGCTGTGAGTTCCACATTGTGTGTCAGTTATTACGGTGTCCTGAAGTGTTAAAAGATGATTTGGTCTATCCGCTAATAAGCTTAAACTTGTGGGGTACAGCATTTGTAACGCTATACAGGTTTAGTAGAGTAGTGGACCACTTTAATGAACTTGCTGATGTCAGTTGTATCCGGTATCGAGATAGAAGAGCGCGTGTTGATGTCGTGTGTCTTACCCCCTACCTGGTTCAAGTGCGACGTTTACGAAAGAGATATATTCTATTGGAGTACCAGTAAGTGCATTTTGTGGTGTTATCCGGATGTAAGGTAAGGCACGATAGTATGTCTCACAATCGCATCTCAGCAGCGGGATCACTTTTGTTGTGATGTAAAACTAACGTTACCTAATGTGCTTTACCTTTCAGATATGTGGAGCTGCCTCTTTGGGGAAGTATGACGGAGAAGGAGGGGATAGTGTGGCAGGAAAAGAGTCCCTTTTTGTGGCCGGACACGCTTACTAAATGTCCAGTGTTGCTCGTATCATCGAACATATTGATTTTCGGTCTGTATTCATTCCTGGATTTCTTTAAATATGCTGATCCGTAACCGCTTTATAATTACAGGTCTATTGATTACATGATAACTAGAATAAAGTGCTTTCTCACTCTTAGCCCTAATGTGGTTGCCTGGGACATGATTGCGACCACAAAGCATCGAACCTGTGGCATACATAAGGCAATTCAAATGGAGATCTATCTATTCGCTAATCGTCGAAAAAATGAGCATGAGGTGTGTCAGCTATTTATAATGGTGATTCGGTTTCCAGGTACATGGGACTAGGTAAGTGAGGGCAGCTCACTTGTTAAAAGCGTTACTTTGCATATGCACAAAGTATGTTCGGTTTTGCGTCGATGGAAACTTCTACGGATCAATAGAGCGCGTAGTGATGGATGGCCCCCTTGGGCCAATTAGTCTCACATCTTGATAGTCCATCTGGAGCATACTAACGTGCGTCAGCTTGTACAAGAAGCCTGCTTGTGCAGCTGTTTTTGTGGTTGTTGGTTTCGCTGAGCAAACGGATAACACGCTAGAAACGTTTAACATCATCGAGGGGCCAAATTCACCATAGAAAACGAATAACTAGCCGAGTTCCACCATTTTGCTGAAACTTTAGAGAGGCTCGCTCGTCAGATCGATTTGCCATAACTTGGATTGGATGGTGTAGTACCTAAGCTTCAACAGCTACTGTCCCACCAACTAAGAACGCCTGTTACTTCCTTGGTGAAACCCCGGTGAATTTGTCCGGAAACGTCCATTGAGAAGGAAATACAATGGCTATCGTGCTACATTTATCGCCAAGTGTGGGAAGGATTAACGATAGAAAAACCGGCTTAGATTCCTGAGAAGATGGTTTTCATTACATCTCCCAGTAAGGGAAACGAAACGATAGAAGCTTTTGTCATCGCTTACGCCAGTCAATAAGAAGACTGCTTTGCATCTGTTGCACCAAACCATAAAGCTGCTGCACGTTTCCGACTTGGACAATCCTCATTCACATTACCACCTCTTGCGTCTACCAGCTCAAATGTGCAAGCGGTAGCATGTACATTGGCCGGACTGAGAGAAGAGCATCTAACAAGTTTTCGGAGCGCATCTCGTGGAACCTAGTTGTGACTGGTACTGAAGTACTTGCAAACCCGGCACCTGTTCCACTGCGCAATAAGTCAAACCCCCCCCCCGGAAGTTATTCAAGCTTACTAGTAGAAATTAGTCAGAAAATGAGGCTTCTGCCATCCGGCACGTGAAGCCACCCATATACAAACAAGTTGACCATGTGCGTAGCCTCGTTCTACCTTGGTAGGGTGCATGATTTTCCCCATACACCCACTGATACAGCTGACTGTCGACTCCCAATATAAATCCTGTCTCCCCGGTTCATTTTAATTTTTCATTATTAGTACCTTAGCGACAGAATGCTGGTAGGTGAAGTAAAATGAATTTAGTTATTCTGCTGAAATGTTTTTTTCTTCTTGTACTTTTGAAGTCCAGTAGCGGGTTGACTGAGCAGTGAAATTCGGTGACAAAACACCAATAGCTGCTCGCCATATAAGTGTTATGGCGGTTATACCGTGTTATACCGTCGCCAGAAATATTATGTCGGCCCCACGACTCATTTCACCCACTAACGGTAGTGAGAACACGCGCAGCAATTCGTGTAAAAAAACAGTCGATCAATCAAGAGTGGTCAATTCAAGGTCAATGGATAGATACAGTGCTTTGTGAACAAGCGGAATGCACAGAGTATGAGCAAAGCAAATAAGCATATGATTCCGTGTCAATACAAGCTCATCACAAATGTGGGGCCACAGAAACACTTATGCGGGGAAGCATAAAAGAGGGTGGGATGAATAGGGGTGAGTGTGGTGAACTCACAAAACAATGGGGAGTGGCAAAACTTTCTTACCACCGCTATAACAATAAGAATAAGACATTTCCGGAGAAATAGAGTAAATTCCGCATTCTAGGTCCCGTTTTACTGTAAACGCCACTAAGTTCCGTTAAAAAGCAATCAGCAACTTGACGGGATGCATTGCCTTGGAAGTGAAAATACGAAGCCGTTGGCAACGCAGGGGGCAGATCCCCTGGAACCCATTCCTAGAGGCAAGAAGAGGTTATCATCGTTTCTATCTCAAGCTGACAGAGCAACAGCTTTGGTGTTAAACTTTATAGATTCGCTAAGCTGAATGGCATTACGCATAGTGGGTAGTGGATAGGCATACCTCGCAGAGTAGTTGGTTTCCTTTCTCCTTAGATGGTGTCGTGAGGCTCATACGTATTAACTGGTGCCTGTTTATATTACCATCTCGAGTATGTCAAAATGTACAGCAGACCTTGTGAACGTTAGGTATGATAAAATTGTGGGAGATATTGAGATTTCTGGATTATCTAAAGGAGAATGACTTACTTCATGGGCCGTGCGGGGACTACCCACTGCGATTTGCGAAAATGATCATTCGGAACGTGAAGGAACCACGCGGTGTTCCGGTGAGATGGTCAAGTATTATAACGTGCAGCTACATAAAGATTGGTCTGCCGCACTAGGATGATAGCAAATAATCCAGATATGCTTTTAATAATGACGAATGCGTACAAGTAAGCACAGATAAAAGGGTAATAAGCCACGATTCACCTTTGGAGAGTGTTGCAAAACTCAGTCCTTCAGAGACGAGCGGTTTATTCAACAAAGCCATCACAGCAAATCTCAAAGCATTATTGGTCTTTAGAAGCCTCGACGAATATAATTAGGCCGCTTCCACAACTAACAATTTTTCTGCGTTCATGAGGTTCGTTCTTGATTTCAGTCAAACGTGTTCACTTCAGCTAAGCCGAATAGTAACCTGTCGGCTTCAAACCTGCTCCGTTACTTTGCCGCAATCGAGCTACTTACTTCATCACGTAAATCTGTCGTCTTCTTCTGGCTGCATATACTCATCACATCCGTACTTCTTTCGTGATTAGTAGCATCGGTATCACTGAAGCTCCGTACCTAATACCGATCCTTGTGGCTTCCCATACTGTTTTGACTTCGCCATAAGTCATCTTTTGCAATGTTTCAGGTCCACATTATCATTCCTTTTGTCACGGCAGCTGCAATCGGTTCCTATTGATTACCTTCCCTCCAGTATTGACTTCACAACTTACTTACTTTTACTTTACTGCGCTTGCTCCTGCGACAGAATGAGCCGGCTTCATGAATGTCGTGGATTGCAGCTGCCCAGGCACGGCAGTCGCCTGCAAGCTCCACGCAGATACTAATCCAATGGTTCCTCCAGTGACGAGCGCCATGCACAACAAGGAGTCCCAGAATATCGACATCAATTTCACTGCAGTGAGCCACCTTTTCAATTGTCTACGACAGTGACAACGCCGGTCCTGGCAAGACGAGGGTGAAACTACGGCCCTAGTGAAGTCAGTGTCTGGTCTGCGGAGGATGTGACCGAACCACTGAAGTCTGCAGCGTTGAATGAGCGTTGTGAGCTTCGAAACACCGTAACAACGCTTACGGAGTTCGTCATTGGTGATGAGCTCATGCCACTGCGTTTTCAAGATAAGCCTTAGACACCAGTGGTCGAAGAATTCCAGCTTCCGAGTTTCTATGGATTGCAAGGGCCATGTTTCGCAACCATAGAGTAAAAAGGCACGAATGGTCGTTCTCGGACCACTTTCCGTCCTTCGCCAAAATATGTTTTTCAGTTGTAAGAAGGCTGTTCTAGCGCAGTCAATACGATTCCGGATTTCGAATGTAGCCTGACTATTGGGATATAGTGGATCCATGATACTTGAACTAAGGAGGGGATTCGATGAGTTGTTAATGTAAGGAGAGCGACGAGTCGGACTAGGTGGCTAGCGATGAGAAGTATTTCATCTTGCTGATGTTAATTTCGAGACCGACCATAGTGACTAATTGGTCGACCCAAATTAGCAGCGACTGTAATGATCTAACATCTTCCGCAAGGATAGCGATATCGTCAGTAACTTCGAGACCTGACAGTCAGAAGTCAGGGCTAACTTGGACACAACGATGGCTCTCAAGGTCATGCTACTTAATCAACTTGACCGCGAAGTTGAATAGCACTGGATAAATTGGTCAACGATGCCGGACTCCAGTATTCATGTCGAATTTCTCCGTTTCTTCCACATAGAACCGAAACCGGGCCTTCATGCAACGGTGGTATGATATCATCAAGTTAACGAGTTTAACCGGCACGTCATCGGCAATTCAACATCATCATACACGTTAGCTAGAGGTGGGGAACACCTCAGCTACTGTGCCGCAATACAAAGAAAAGAAATGAGAGAGAAAAAACAACTGGTGCAAGCTGGCTGAGCTACCGGTAACGGATGGGCATCGTTCTGGTAAGCTACCAGCCGGCTGCTGTGCACCAAAAAAATTACTATGCAAAATTACATAAGGCTAAGTAATGAGATCGTGGTTGGAGTGGGAGGCTAAGAGGGATGGGGTGGGACAAAGAAACTCACAGCACGAACGCCACTGAGGTCGGCTCCTATCCATATCAGCAAGTGTGTCCAACCAAACGTGTTCATCGTCTTTCGGACCCCAACCAGGGAGCTGAGATGCTACAACCGAGGCCAGCTCAGAAGTGAGGGCCTTCATTCCTCTGGACCAAGTCATCGCTTGGCCACCCCTCCTCTTCTTCCATCCACACCCCCCGGCGCGCAAACAACACACGTCGCGGAAGTCGGTGGGCTGGTATGCGTAACGTGGCCGAGCCATCGGAGCCTGATGCGTGAAATAACGGTGCTGAGCGGTTCATTTCCTTTTCCTGTGCCATAAACTAGGCGTCGAACACGCTCGTTGTTCACACGGTGTTCCCACCAAATGTGAGCTAAATTACGAAGGCACCGGTGGTCGAACGTAACTAGCCTCTTCAGGTCCGCTGCTTTAAGCGGCCAGGTTTCACAACCGTACAATAGGGTCGAACGTACTGCTGCATTGTAC